CAATGGAAACTGATGTGGGGATATGCACACACATACGTATTCAGGCTAAACTAAACAAATCAAACGCAACTTTATGCATTGTTCTTAAATTATCTTAATTTGTAATCTAAGATGGGTTGGTTTTGATTGGCCAGAAAAAAAGATCGACTGACTGCAGAAAAATTACCTTTGATGGACACGCCAACGCATCTGGTCGCATAACATAAAATATCCTCCACCTTTCTTTTTTAACGTTTGATTTGCTACAATTTAAAGTGGAACGGACCGCATGACGAGTCATTACAAAAAAATAAGAACCAAGTTTTGCTGAGCAAACATAAAAGGAGATTTTTCCTCATAAGCAATAATTATGAAATTATGAGACTGAACAACCAGCTGCAGCAGCGTGTACTCACTCGCTATCATTCATATAAATTAATCTTCATAATGTCCAACTTGTCAAATCTCTGTTTAGCAGATTAGCCAGCCGTCTGAAAACGCGCACTGACAACAAATTTCACAGACTGTAGGTGTGCCAACTTTGTCACAGAAACACGCCATATCTAATTCTCATCGTCAACGCAAGAAATTCAAAACCAAACGGTTTCCTAATACGGTTTGACAATGAACACAACTAATGTACACTCATTAGACTAAATATTTCTTGGCTCAACGTTTTCACCCAACAGCTTGCTTATCTACGTGCACAGGTATATCGTTTTCATCATTAGATGGTCTGCTAGGTGAAATTGATACAAAAACTGCCAAATTGTTAAAAATGCACACAAGTTTCACAACAAAGTCATAAAGCATCTAGAATGTCATAATGTCTCAAAGCAAAACAGATACAATCATTCCCGTCGTCTAATTCTTATTTATTTATTGTAATGTACTTATACATACTTACATGTAATTAAGCTCCATTGCTTTTTTACCATCAAATATATTTCATGCACGAACGCCAACGAAGTAGAAGATAGAAACAAGCAATAGATATCTCTTAATTCAATGTGACAAAATCAAATAACAGTAAATTTACTGAAGGAGGGTGCGTGGGATGCGAGTATCGTGAACTCCTCGAAAATTTATCTTGATCAAATCCAAGACAATTTTATAGGCAATAACTTCTCAATTATTAGTTATGCATGTTCATTTTGTCATTACCATGTTACGAATTGCATGCATGAGGCGGGGATACAACGACAAAACGAGATCCAAGGTCTAGTTTAGGGTTCTCCTGTTTCAGCACGTGTGCGATGTGACCTTTGCTCTTCCGCTAAAATCTAATCTAATCAGAGAAATAGAACTGGCAGTCTGAAAAATACAAGATATTCAAAATATTGCAACTTCCTACTATTTCATTTCATAAAACTGACTATATCTACTGGCGTAGAAGGTTTAAAATTAATTCTATGTATGTATGCATGAGGTAAATTCATACTTTTTGCTATAAATAGCACTGGTTCTAGTTTCTGTTTGAATTCAAATATTTTCCACCAAAGTAATAACTAAAGTAATCATTAGTTAGTAATGAGCCAACGGGCAATGTCAGACTTAATTTTCCAACTGATGATTAATTCTTAATATTTCTTAAGCATTTGGTTTTCTCTTGTCGCTGCCATTACACATAGCAACCAAGCTACTACCCACTCACGTCGGAGAACGAAGCCACAAGATGGGAAATTAGGAAATTAAGTGGTGCCTTTGAATTTCCAAGGCCCATGTTCACTTATGCTCCAGTGCCCTTGAACAACTGCAGAGTTTCAAGTTCGGGTAGTTCCAGCACACTTTCCTTTGTCGAAGAAGAGGACGAAATTCCGTGGAAACTTTCCCACTTTCATTCTCAAGAACAGCATAGCAGAGTTACCTCACGAGAACTCCTTATTTCCAACTCTCCGTTCGTCCATGTTCTGCATGCGCATCGGTTGTGGTTTTCATTTAGACAAGATTTAGCTCAACACCTTACTACTCGTGTTTCACTAATTTACTCCGAGCAGTACGTGCCTTTATGACATGCGACAACGTCTCTTGTCCATATTAGACCAATTACCAAGATTAGTTAGTTTGTTGAACAATGCTCTATTTTGCCCTTTCATGTAATTAGTGAGGTTAATGGAAAAGTTGCAATGCAATTCTCATGCAACTTAATTTCCCACACGGTGCATAATAAGATAACGAAAGAATTGCACTGTTATGCGGTGGCACTTCATTCATATTTGTCGGCTATGCATACGTATGAAGCACTTTTAGCATTATATTTGAAGCACTCGGCTTTAGACATAGTTGCACATTGTGGTTCAACACCGAATCTTTGGAGAATTTGGTTTGGATCCAAAATGTGACTCAGAATAATAGGGTGCCCTGTGAACAGTCGTGCCAAGACACAAGCAGATGACGATGATGACCGTCTTCAGATTGTGACATGAAAAGACTTTGAGCTATCAATCATTTGCAAGAGATGGACAATGGCAACATAATTGAAAATTTGAGCTTTCATAAATTACAGGGCCTTGTTCTGCATATTTCTTCCACTTCATGGTAGCTAAGTACAAGGCAGGCCAGCAATGTTGACTTTTGATGGAAAATGTCCTGAAACCACCACCACGGTTGGGTATTTATTTGGCAAAGGAGTACGGGATCAGGCCGGGATGAAATGTGGATTGCTGCGACAGAGGAGGATTGAGGAGGAGGAGACGGAGGACGAGCGAGTGGACAAAGGACAGCATATTCGTGAGTCTGGATCAAATGACACAACCATGTCACGGAACTTTGGAAATATTTGTCTTCTCATCTCCTCTGGTCGTCCGAACACGCCGGCTCTATATTTATTTCAGAGGAATCCCATTTCATTCCAATCCACTAGCGACAGGAATTCGCTTTCCGTGATTTTTTTCTCTATTCGCAAATCCATTTGTCTTCTGTGGGCTATGTCATTCTTTTTTTATGCCGACTAAAATTGGAATGGTTCAAGCATCCAAGCAGCAAAGGAGCTTAAACAACTTGATATTATGTATGGAAAATACAAGCATTTGAAGCTTTTGTAGCATGTTTTTTGTTGATATGTTGCATTATCATTTTGTCATTAAATCAACAAGCATACAAATTATTTATTGGTTAAAAATGAAACTGGAAAGTTTTAAAAATAGTCCTCAAATAGACTGCTTCCGAACACTTTAATAAATAACGAGAGAATGGAAGGAAGTCATAAGCTACAAAATTATTCATTACTCTTGGGTTTCCAGTCCATATAAATAGCACTGTTCAATTAATTAATTATAACACTGATAACACCCAGCAAAGGTTAAATGCGTGTAATGCAACAAATGACGTCAGTCAGAACAGTGATAAATACTTTATTCGCTCTTTGGTCTCTTTTGAAGATGGAGGAAATGTATTAAATGCAACAATAATTCCCATCGCTGTCACCTTTTCACTATCACGAAATGAATTTTGGTTCAAAACTGGAGACGACGAATTTCAAACAAGCGATATGCATGGTCTACTTCTGTTCTTATTTAATGTCGTATTGTAATTTAGGTTGCTGCATAATTTTACGATGGGCAAAGTGGTGTACAAATGTATCGAGGGAGTCAACAGTCAACACAGTTATTCCACCACGGCTGGTTTTTTATGCCTTTCTCCTTGTCAATCAATTTGATTTTGTTGGCTGATAGTCATGAATTGATATGGATATTATCATCATCTCCATCAATTACGAGAGCGAGATGAGTGGCTCAAGTCTACCAAACGAACCCTGGTCGGATATGTAGATGCTATTCCTTCGTGCTTACTACATGCAACTTGTTATCCTGCATGGTTTCCCCTGTTGAGGGAACAAATAATTTTGATACTCGCATCCTCTTCTTGCATGCGATGTTGATGTAGAAATGATCTATCGAATCTTGAATAAATTGAGTATGAAATCATAAAACGACGTTCGATCTCTTGGATGCATTCCCATTTTTTATTTTGCAGGAGGTTCTCTTCCTATGCCATGTAACTCAAGTTTTGAATGAGGACCCCATGCAGCGATTTGAACTTACTTAATGAGACGATTACTCTTCACACACAGGATATAATTTGACGCTTCCAATGTAAATTCGAAACTGCCTGGTGATGAACCAGTAATATTGTATTTATTGCTTCACTGCGGCTGCTAATTTTTATAAACGTACTCTGGCGAGCTGAGCATTTATTGCTGTACGTCTGACCATTTTATGATTAAGTTGCTCATTTAATGCTGTGGTCAACAACACGGGATGAGAGATAAAGTCAGGATTGAAAAATATTGAGTTATTTTAAATTAGAAGATTAATCACTCAATCAGCATGCCACCGGGTTCTGTAAAAATTACTCCATCCATACTACGCAATCCCGGCCAGACGACTACTACAATTTAATGGCAAGAACAAGTGCTTGTGAGGCCAATTACTTTTTATTCATGCTGAAATGAAGGGTGGTCGACGACTACTTCGTTAACTTGATGATGATTCATTTTACTTACTGCAGTGAACTTGTAATAAAAACGCGAGGCAATGTAACACATAGAACATATATTTATCCTCTTACCTTCGCATATTTAAAACCTGGATGCAATCCCGTGTACGTATAGTTTCACATGGAAAGTGTGGACCAATATAATATGAGACATATATAAAGTTCCTTGCGGCGAGAAATGTCAACGTAAGCAGATTTTATAGCCATAATGCGGTAATACATATTGCAATTTTAGACAATTTTGCCATTTTCACGTGACCCAAGTACGTATTGCACGCTTTTTAGGAGCAGCGATGTACCATTATGAAAGCTCATGTATCAGATTTATCTTTTTTGTTCTCGTACCCCTTCAAACTATGCAACCGTGTGCTGCGTTTTTGTAGTGTACCCGATCCAATTTTGTTAGCTTTACTACAAGAAAGTAATTGGAGTGCAACTTCACTGCAAATCACACACTCTAAATCTTCCAAAAAAGTCAGTGTCTTTGAACCCGTGACTTTATGAATATTTGGCTGATTTAAATCTTGAGCATCATTTCGTTACATTTTATTTATTTCTGAAGCATGCCTTCGTAAAAATTTGCGAACTACTACCTTCACATACGAGTACTGATATATATTATTCAAGGACAAGCTGTTCGTAATTGTATACACATGGAATATAGAAATATAGCTGGATTTGTGCTCGTAGGATTGGAAGTAATCTCATTTTACAAATGAGTCTACAGGGTCTGGGGAAAGTTAATTCAAGAAATTATGGGTTAATTATGGCTCCATTATATTAACTGGAGAAATATTCGCATAAAACAAGATACCTGAACGTGGAGCTCATCCCTGCAGGTGCATTTAACCTCATTATTTCTCCAGTACCAGGCCTTCTGAGAGGTTCATTTGTGGAAGTAATGTTTGTTGCTCATCTCATTTCATCTCCTCGTCGCTCCGATCTGCAGACCACACCACGTCATTCCAACGACAACGACGAAGGCGACCTACCAAAAACAACATGGGTTCGGAGACATTCTTTGTCTTCGCCTACCTGAGCATAGTTAATGATGTCATGAGCGAGAAGAAAAGCCATAAATTCCGACAAGGGGCCCAGATCATTTGAAACAACCAAAGTGGTGTCTATTCCGACTTTATTTGACAACGTGTAACTAAATGATGATCATTAAGTCAATGTGCTCAAGCACAACCAGCTCAACCTTTGAAGTAAGCATTTAATGTATGTATATATATATCAGTTATGTATCATTACCTCAGTTGCGACTGCATATAATTTTTCATCCGTGCTGTAGGTCTCATTTTGTGCAGGCAGCGTGAACTTAATCCGTAAGTATCATTTATAATGATAACGATGCCGTGCTTTGTGCGCTCATCCCAAATTTTAACAAGACTTTGACACAGCATGCAATACCAATTCATTAATCTAGCAATCAACAAATTGACGACACGATCAGTATATGTATGAATGGACAGCCGTTCATATTCCGCGGCGCTCTGCCATTAAAATATGGTTACAACTTGTAACTTACAAGTATGAAGTATGATTTAGTTGATTGTTGATCGTATTCATATGCACCTAATTTTTGAACATGTGGTTAGGTGGTCCAATCAACTTTGGCTTCATGAGCGTTTCACAGCCAAAATATATAACAACAAAAAAGTCAGAAGATATAGCAGTTCGGCATATTGCACGTCAAAGAATTAACTGAGGGATGCGCACATAATTGTGGTGTAATTAGAATTCATTACACCAGAAATCCAGTTCTGCATGCATGGGCTGCTGATGGGTGAATAATGAACGAGTGCCCTAGAGTCAAGAGCTTAATCAAGGAAATCATATCGCACTCGGGCGAGTGTTCATTAAATTTATTTTATGGAATTTTCCACCTCTTGATTTTGCTGTGAGAGTACATTTGAGTCAGGTAGAAAGAAGGACTTTTAAACTGCATTCCCATAAAATTGTAACTTTTGTGCAACCATAAGGTATAACAAATGTATGTGGCAGCGTTGGTCGGGTGGATAAACAAAATCGCTGCTGCCCTTTGATCTTGGGCCACCCTAATTATTTCTGATTCAGGGAGAACTTTTCTCCTCTCTCCTCGTGGTGGACCTGCTGAAACTACCTTCTCTCTAAAGCAAATTAAGCATTTAGGCTTTTGTCTTGTGAGAAAAAAGCGAACTGTCGAATCAAAAAGTGACCACAGTAATTGGTGTAATTGCTTTAAATGTTCTTGACCAGGTCAGACGAAATTTGGGTGAGTGAATACCTGAAGCAGATGTAATGATGGGGGTCCAACTCAATTAGGTCGTATCACACCTCTCAATGTTCATAATTTTCAAATCATTCCCTTCTCAAATGCAGGCTTGTGTTATTTGATAACTGTTTTTTTTGGAAATAACTCCATCAACGATAATTTTCACAAATACTTGTCATTAAACTATTAGCGGCGCCTTTGACAGATAAATCAGGAATGCCACACGAACGAAACAGTACTTGCTGACATCATACACAAGACGCGGTGTGGTTACTATTTCTCTTTACGGGCAAATCTTAAACTTTTCACTGAAATTGTGTTTAATTCCATGCACATATTTTTACAAGCTATTTTGCAACTAAAAAGGTTAACAATGATCTATAATTTGTATACCCCAGCTGGAAGGTTCATTATTATTTATAGTGGTGGTATTAATCTTGCACTATTTTGCAGACTAAATTATTAAAAAATATGCGATTCAAGAACGGTCAAACGTACAACAAACAAGTTCCAAGCGTCATCATTTTCTGGAACTTTATCTCCTATCATAAGTCCCAGAAAAAGAGTTAAACAAAGATTTTGAGAAGAATTCTGGCCTATTTTGTTTTATTTTTTTGCAGATATTCGTATATAAATTATTTGCTTTATAATTATTTTTTGAGTAGATCGTGCAAACCTGAATGAAACTTGTTCCAAAAACAGTTTTCGACATCATTATGAATAAAATTATTTATACCTTCACGAGGATAATAGAAACAGACAGAATGACCTCCAGGTTAATTGGGAGAGTGAGAACTTGCATTTGAACTTCAAAAAAAGAAGAAATTTTAAAAATTATTTACCAGCCTCAATTTCTCAAATAATATTATATAATAATATAAATATTATGAATTTGTTGATATCTTTTTGTGACTGACAACTGACATTTATTGTAGTAGAATTATTGAGAATATTGGTTAAACAAAACATTCAGCAAGTCTCTGAACTGAATGTGGTCGTCCTTACATAAATGCCTATTTATGTATATGTATGTATATAAATAACTGTATGTACTCGCTAGTCGGTTTAGTGTTCACTTACGAACCACGTTTGGTTCAATTTATAACAAACGGAAAACTTTAGTACGCCTGTTAAAAGTTCAAGTTTAAAATTTGAATAGAATCTCATTTGCATAAGAACTGATGAGGCACTGAAGTTTTAAGTGGAGAGTAGGCGAAAAGACAAATATTTAGATTCTTTGGTCAATCAAATAGCTTAACAAACGAGCAAACCAAATTTTCTCAGACTAATAGATTCAGGTGTTTCTCTCCTTGTATTTTGAGAGATTTGAAAACTCTTGTCTCTGTTTCTTTATTCTTTGCTCAAGTTATTGACTTGGCTGAAGGAACAAAAGGTTAAATTTATTATTGCAAAATATTCAAGTAAGTTAGGTTAAGTTGTTTAGAAAAATAATAAACACTTTTGAGTGGAGGAGTAGATATATGAAAGTACATTTTGGCCCACAAAGTAAACCACTTGCTTTATTTTAACGAATTTGTAATGAGATGAAGGAATAAAGCTGCCTATGACAGAATTATCTTTGAAACTACAGCCAGTAAAGGGCAAATCCTTTCATGCCATAAAATCTATTCCTACTCTAAATCCCCTCGATCCTTCTCCTTCCTTCCTGTGAACTGATTTCCAGATAATCGACATCAATTTACTCTGAATTTCTATTTGAACAATGTAATTGACATTGTGAAATCAGAAACAATGGTCGTTATCCGAGCAGATAGAACGCCTACACATTAATCACTGGAAACCACAACGCACACGGCGAAAAGTCCAGATTGTGACTTGGCCTACACCTACTCAACCTCCACGAAGAAGTTGCCGTGGTGGTGACTGAATTGACTTGAAGACACAAAGTAATGAATAACAATCGAAGGAAAGGCTGGTCTTCCAGAGAGTGGTGCATAGCAAGTCGTCCTCGCTGGAGATGACCCACTACCAATCCAATTGGGCTGAGCTGATGTACTTTCGCCCAAGATGTGTCTTTGATTGGAGATAATCCAACAACAATGGGGCAGAAGAAATACTTTATTTCGTTTATATACCCTTCCTTCAAATGTCCTTAACTTAAGTACGGCTTAAGTAAGCATTCTAAAGTTCAAAAGGAAAGACAGCAGCAGCTCTTATGCCAACAACTTTAATGTACATCTACTTATGTATATATGTAAAAGTCGGTCAACTATATGCAAACGTATTTACCTAAATATAACTACGCTTTTGTATTAAGATATTTAAGACTGTTTTCTGTGTGTACATATTTCTTACATTAAATAACTCGTACTGTTGCAACATATGTAAATTAATTAAACGTTTTTAAAAGAACAGCAATAAATGTACATATGCATTTATACATCATTCTGTACTGTACAACATATTCAACTCCGAACGTATGTACTTATGCACATCTTATTGCATCTCAAATGGAATAATGAATTTGGACCACACCATATCACACCCAACGCTTCATTAGTCACCTTCATTAGACAAGTTTAAGGTAAATTTTACAACCAAGCACATCAACGAATTGCCCAATCCCACCCAAACTAAGTGGATTAAATTGTACTTAAATGTCGGCATTGTTAAAATGTTGATTGACGACGTAAAGATTGTTTGGCCGAAATCAGACAGAATCTTGTTCAAAAGGCAGTAAGAAGACATTTTGCTTGTTGGCTGGCGAGCTAGGTGACACAATGTCGACTTTTTATTATAATTGCTTTAATGGGGAGTTTTAGAAAGCTTGAAACTTTGCGAGGTGCAATAAAGGGGGAAGTACTCTAAAAAAGCATAATTATTCAGGGTCAAATAAATCCTATGGAGCAAAATTGATACAGGCAAAACTCAAAGCTGAGGAAATTACTAAAATCCTTCATAAATAGCGTGTCCATGAAAATCATGAAACTTTAGGCAGACCAGCCCAAAAACTAAGTGGAAGAAGAATCATTTATCATAAGGCACATAATGTTTTGACCTGCTTTGCTTTGCTTTGCTTTGGTGGAAAGTTGTAGTGCAGCTACTAATAATTACAACACAACAACTGCGATTACTTTGGTCATGGTTGATCACCCAACTTCTCGATTTAACAAACTATTACTCAAAATAAAGCTGCATACGCATACATACACATTTACTGCATAATGCTTCTTAACGTACGAACCACGGATACGAATTCAGACCAAGTTCCCCACAAGTAATACGTAATATTATTACGTGTAATTCCGCATCGGAGGAATGGGCCAACCAGCGAAGGAAAGCTAAACCATATTTTCCGAATTATCCTAGCTTAAGGGTTTCTTTAATTCCATGTGAAATATGGGCAACGTGGATTTATGTTCATGCACTTATTAACCTGACCAAGTTTAAATCTTTGTGGATGTGTACTAACCATATCAGACATGCCATAATGATAATCACATTGTTGACCATATCGTGCTTTACCAATGCTTGGTGGCTCTCTGCCCTGTCGGAGTCAAGTCTTTGCTAGCTTTGCACTTTAATTTCCCTTCAAAACAAGATTTATGCAATGGATGGAGGAGAGGCATAATGTATACGCGTCCAGAGCAAATACATTCCAAGCTTCTATACACATTCATCTCTTTTCAGTTGAAGAGAAAGCATAAATCTGCTCAAACTGCGCAGAAATTAATTCTTACTCGTTGTCATTATGCTAAGGACAAAGCGTTTTGAGGTCATAAAACAAGGAAAATATTCATTTCCAACCCAAGTGAAAAATACGCTTATATTTATGCAGTCTAGATTCAATGCGTGGAATTTCTCCTATGCATCTCATATGATAAATGTACATACACAATCCAGTTTTATCAATCAGGATGCTGTTCCAGGTAATAATATAAACTCGTAGATTATTGATTGAGATTAATAAATTCAGTTTGAAATGCATATACTTTAAAGAAGACGAGATCCACCAATCTACTTACTTGGATGGGCTGAGATAGGAACTGGAATCAAGTGCAAGAGTACAATGTAATTCAGGGTGTCTCCCAATCTAATCTGAGATATGAAATGAAACAGACAGGCAGACAGGGTGGGTGAAACTAACCAAGAAGTTGCCAACATGCCAATAAAACTGCAATAACTTAACAACTTTTTGAGAACATAATACATTGTCAATCCAGACTTCCAGACATGAGGCACCAGCTAGGAAATTGGAGGCATGAGGTAATCATTTGCTCGGCAATTTTTTGTACAACTGCAGTATCATCATCAATGTACATACAGATATACAACATATCAGTTGAGTTGGACCATCCCATTTCTTGCTATTAATAAATGCAAAGCTACGAATATTAGAAAATGCATTTCATGATACAGATTACTTATCAAGTGGTCCGGGAATATTAAAATGAAGCGAGTTTTAAATATATGCGCGTCCTAAATATTTGAATGCAAATCGATTAAATTAAATCTATTCACTGTCCACTATTTAAGAAAGGTGCAAACTAAAAAATAATACGCACACATACGTATAAACTTAAAATATATACACCTAGAAAATTCAATTCAGTTGCAGTAATGGTAGATGCACTTCTTGAAGAACCACAAGCTCATAAACTTCTGGGAACAAAAGAGCATCACGTCTCGTAATTCGTTTTTGAAACTTGAATAGAATTAAATGTATCGAAGTGCTTGAATTAAGTGTTTTCTTACTCCCTGTTTAATTTCATGTGAAGCTCACTCAATAATAGAAATATGACCAACTGTTCATATGCTTAATATAAGAGTGTAGCATGTAAGTATGGATATGCATAATGGCTGAAGAAAAGATATTGGGGCTGAAGGGTTGGGAGTAACCTGATTTCAATGTCCGAGTTAGCAGATTTATTGGACATTTGGCTGCAGCAATCTTGAACAAGGTGCGCAACAACAACATCAAATCTAATCTTCACAGTTCATAAGTTCTCCTGCCTTCTTTCTTCTTGAAGTAAAGGGAGAGGAAGACGAAGAATGTGGAGACTCTGCAGACAAGGGAACAAGACAATTTTGAGCACTATTCAATCTGCAGGTACACCATTTAGGATAAGGATTGGGTGAGACTGAAAAACTGTGACTTGGAGTGAATGGATGATGCTTCGTCAGCATCAGTGTTTTCATAAGGTGGCTCAAAGTACCTACTTCAATCTCATTCCATCCCAGTCGCCGTGTGTGAGTACGATTTCTTATTCTTTCTTTCGGCAAAGTGGTCAGCCAGCCACCACAACGCCCGTAACACAATAATGACGACCCACCGACCCGACCCTGGCCTGAGGGACTCGATTATTGGCTCGCCTCACACATTCACAACTTTTATCATGCCAGCAGACAATACTGGACCACGATCTTGATCTTCAGAATCCAAGAACCTTTTCTGATACAATAATACATAAATAACCAGGATTTTCTCAGTCCATTTCAGTTCTAATATGCATAAAATTCCAATACGCAATACGCAATAATTGATAATTATCCGAGGACGGCGCGAAGCGCCGGACGACGGATAATTGTAATTATCCGAAGTAATACGGAATCTTGAGGTATTAGTCAATTGGTAGTTGTCTCCTGACAAGCCCCAGCTCCCATCTATATAAAACACATTAAAAGAAAAGTGCCATGCATGCCCCGGGCTAGTATATCACCTCACAGTCCAAAAAACATTTTCGAATGAACAATCGGGTGGGTGGGTGAGGCGCTAATACCTCAAGATTCCGTATTACTTCGGATAATTACAATTATCCGTCGTCCGGCGCTTCGCGCCGTCCTCGGATAATTATCAATTAATCCTACAGTATACTCCATCTATCGGTATTAGTCAATTGGTAGTAATTCAAAGCTTCATGAGAAAATGCTACACAACAAGCAATTATGAATACATGTTTAAATCAACATTTATTATAACATTTATATTAAATATCATCAGCCATTCAATACAGCATTTGCAAATTCGTGTGTGTTTATAATAGGTCTACGATAATGTTTAGCAAAAACTTTGGAGTTATTACACCACCCAGCAGCTTTATAAATAGAATCAACACAAACTCCTCGTTCATGAGCTTTCGAGGTAGAAGAATGACGAAAACTATGACCTGAGTATACATTAATATTAATACCGGACTTACTTAATACTATTTTTAACCAACGACTAAGCGTATCTCGAGAAACGGCCCCATAAGGGGTTCGTGTAGAAATGAACAGTTTATCTGTTTTCCGTATCTCTTTAGTTTTAGCTAAATAACATTTCAAGGTTTTAACTACACATAAGTTAATATCTAAAAAATTAGGTAAGGATAAAATTGTCGTACTACCTGGCTTACTAGACTTTAATTTATCATAAATTACGATTTCACATGAACCACTTTTAAAATTAATATTGGGAACACTTATAGCAGATAAGGTTTGTACTCGTTGGCCTGTGGTCAGGGCCAACAAGGCCACTAATTTATGTGACAAATCAATAATATTTAATCTCGAATTCTCGCCTAAATTTTTACAAAATTGAAGCACCAAGTTAGAGTCCCATGTATTTTCATATTTTGGTTTGGGGGGTCGACTGTTTGCTACCCCTTTTAATAGGCGACACACGACGGGATGAGTCCCTATATTTTGCCCGTCAACTTTCCCTATCATTGTAGAAAGACAAGATCTCATTGAATTAATTGAGGTATACCCTAATCCGTCGTCATGAAGTTTTGCAAGAAATTCTAAAATACTATTAATTGAAGGCCTCCAAACTGGGAGATTGTTAATGGTACAGTATTCCGTCCATTTTTTAAAATTTGAAGAATATTGTTTCCAGGTAGAATCCTGGCACGATGAAAGGAGTAATTTTGTTACGTTCTCGGGGTACTGGTCGTTTTGCCACATAAAATTGCTGCCATGAGATTCATCTTCCTGCATAAAGGATGAGAAGAATCATCATATGGGGATTTTAAATCATAAGTATTTTGATGTAAAACCAAAACTTTGGATTTTAGAAGTTTCGAAAATTGAGGATACCATGTTTGAGTACACCAGTCTGGAAAAACTACAATACCAGTTGCCCTTTCATGTTTTATTTTGTTTATTGTACGCGAAATTTGAGAAAAGGGTGGAAATGCGTAAAAATATTGTGACCACCGGAAAGTGAAAGCGTCAACTATTTCGGAATTTGGATCTGGAAACCAAGACGCAAATCTGGTACATTTAGCAGAATAAGTGGTGGCAAACAGATCGATTTCGGGCGTCCCGAAGTGATCACAAATAAGATTAAAGGATTTCAGATCTAAGGAATAATCCGTCTTATCAATCTCTTCCCTGGATTGTTTGTCCGCTATATAATTCTGCGAGGATTTGATATATGATGCAAATATCCAAATATTTCTTTCCTCACACCATTGCCAAAGGATTCTAGTCCATTTTAAATTTATTTCTGAGCGACATCCCCCAAACTTATTAATGTATGCTATAGTGGTGGTATTATCACTGCGAACTAGAATATTGCAATCAGATGAACTCGAGCATAATGATTTTAACCCATTAATCACTGCGATCAATTCTAGTGTATTTATATGAAGAAGCTTTTCGTCTGTTGACCAAAAACCTCGTGTAACTTGTGACTCAGTGTGGGCACCCCAACCAGTCGTAGACGAATCAGTGGTCAACGTCAAGACAAAGCTGTCCGATCTTATAGTTTCAAATGAATTTGGCAACTTTCTCTGCCACCACTGAATGTCTGCTCGACATTGTGCATTTATTGTGCATTTTCCATTATAATCGCCACTGCATTGAATTAATGCTGCATTTCTCAGCAATTCTAAGCGTCTTATGTAAGTACTCGAATAACGTATAGCAGGACTAGCTGCTACCAGATTCCCTACCAATTTAGCTAACTCTTGAATCTTAATTGTCTCCTTTTGTAAAACTTTCAAAATAATGTCATTAATTTTAGTCACCTTGCGTGCAGGTAACGAAATTTGCATGAGTTTCGAGTTGTAAACAAAACCCAAGTATTCAACTACTTGACTTGGCATTAATTTAGATTTTTTCTCATTAATTGTGAAACCCAACCAAGTCAATAAACATTTAGTTGACCTTATATTCCTTAAACATTCCGATTTGTTTCCACCTATTAGAAGTAAATCATCAAGGTATTGATTAGAAATAAACTTTCTCTTTCTTAATAATGCCATTATTGGTCTAAATATCTTAGTAAAAAGTCTTGGAGCACATGAAATTCCAAAGGCAAGGCAAGTAAATTGGTACAAAATACCTTCAAATTCAAATCTTAAAAATATTTGATCATCTGGGTGCACCGGAATGGCATGATAAGCATCCGTTAGGTCTAAAGTTGCCATCCAACAATTGTTTTCTATAATACTAATAACTGATTTTAAATTTTCCATTTTAAAATGAGGAGATAGAATATACTCATTCAAAGATTTAAGATTGATCACTAATCTGTAAGAATTTGGCTCCTTCTTTGGGACAAGAAATATTCTTGAAACAAATTGACCTTCGCAAGGCAACACTTTAACAACTGCACCAGTATCTAATAAAGTTTGTACACATTTTCTAGCATATGGTAACTCTACCTCAGAAAATCGAAATGGCTCTGGTGCATTACTTTGGCATGGAATACTCACAAATGGTATGCGAAAATTTTCGATTGCCTCTAGAATTTCCTTGTCTTTCGTATTTTTCTCCCAATTTTTTAAATATAAACTTAATTTTCTTGCCCTGCTTACATTTACTGCGATCGACTCGGTGGTCTCCATTGAGGTCGCAGCATCGATCCTCTTGGGTTGAATTGCGTGAAGTTTTGTCTGTGATTGAATCGCGGGCCCCCTCGGCTGTAGGAGGCCCGATTGTAGTTTAAATATGTACCTCTTGAGGAATTAGTGAAAGTATTTTGGGGTCTGTTTGAAAAACGGGAAAATCCTCTCCGGTTTGTGGACGTCCTGATAACAGTGGCAGCTGCTCTGGCGGCCTTGATGGTGTCACAAACATTGTCTCCAAATAGTAACTCCGGTGTTGATGGCGTGTTGCACACTGCCACAATTTCAGTGCTTAATGCAGGCTTAATATCCTGCTTCCGTTTCATATTGATATCTTGGCTCAATTTTGAATTCAATGTTGCAGCTTGAATAGTCAGCCTCAGAAGATCTTGACTCAACTCTGGGGGCATCTTTTTCGAATTCAACATCACTTTTTCTGCTAAATGAGCCAATGCAACAGTTGAGCTCGATAGGATTGTTAACATTTGTTGGGATTGGAAATCTCCTTGCTTTGATTTTTGAGGCAATACGGTCCAAATTTCTGGGTTTACCCTTGGAACTCCGAGAAGTTTGCAATTAGCTGGTGTAAGAAAGGGTTTCCTCAATTCTTCGATTTTCTCTTTAGATAACACTGTTTTTCCCAAATTCGAAAAAGAACTGGCCACGTTAACATGCAAATCCGGTCCAAATTCCGGTTCAATCTGACTTTCATTTAATATATCTAAGAGCTCAGATGTCGGTCCATCGTCAACGAGAGTGGAATCATCAATCACTTCTATGAACAGATATCATCTCTGAATACCTCTTATATATTAATATTCCAATATTTCCAAACCTTTTTCATGTTGGAGTAAGCTTTGCATTGTGTCGTCAACAACGTCGACTGATTTCTGTTGGCTATTATTTTGCGTACCGAGCAAAATTTCCTTAATTTGCCTAATCTCATTAGGCAGTGACTGAAGTTCAGCAATTGCTTTTGAATGAGAGGCCAAAACGGACACCTTCCTCTTTTTCGGTTTGGGCGGACCAGCGGTCACGTCATCAGCACTAACGATTATAATAACAACACATGTTCAAGTTTGACTTTTTAAGTTTTCAGTGCTTTTTAATTTTTTTTTTAATGAGGGACTACGTCCTCTCAAAAAATATATTTGAGGTAACCACGTTATCCTCTTTCTCTAGAGTGACTACGTCATCTCTGTTATGTGCGACAACGTCGTCACAAAAGTTTTTAAAAAATATATAACTCTTTGCCCTTAGGTTAAAAATAATAGCAAACATGGCTTACCTGTCCCCCTTGCCGGTTGACGACATCTTGATTTGTACAAGGTCAAATATTAAACGAATTTGTCGAAAAAATCACGAGCTAAAATTTAGTGATGTGAGCTGGGTCTGCATCAAAAAGACTGTGAGGTGATATACTAGCCCGGGGCATGCATGGCACTTTTCTTTTAATGTGTTTTATATAGATGGGAGCTGGGGCTTGTCAGGAGACAACTACCAATTGACTAATACCGATAGATGGAGTATACTGTAGGATTAATTAATGTCTAAGGGTAAAGATGAGGTATTTAAGGAAAGCCTAACACCCATGACTGCACGTCCCTCATATTTATTCTCGTGTGACTTCATAGTCACGAATTTGCTTATATTGTCTCCTTGCAAAAAAAAATATGTGAGTAAAATTCATTCGGTGGACTGTGCAGGAATCATCACAAAGTAAAGACTGCCAGGATTTCCTTTAATTCTAGAATCTGTGGTGTTTCTAGACTAAAGTTGAACATGTCAACACTTATTAAGAGCCACTTGGATGGGGATACTGGTTCGTTATTTGTACAAAAATGAAGACCAGTAGCCCAACGCGTCCAATCCATTCAAGGGTGACATCACCAGCAATGATCATCACTCGTGAAGAGACGCGTCGATAATTGAAGAATGAGGAATATCCATCTTTGTCAACAATAAGGGAATCCATATAAGGCCCTTATTATTCCTTACCAAAATTCACTAATGCGTAAGCGACAACTAATCAAAGTATCAAACAGTTGGCAAAGTATAGTTCGATCGATATGGTAGTTAACAAAGCTGATCTTAGAACGAGATATGAAGTACGATTGAGTTCTCTCGAAATTGCAAAATAAATAAGCTGATATTGTCAAGTGGCAGCTGCCGAGTAATTACTGAAAGAGAGCGACTTGTTATTCTTGCAAAAAAGTCTACACAAACGCAAAAAGAGCTTGGACCCGTTTCCCCCTGTGCAAAGGCATATGTGGGTCTTTGGCACCATGATTTTACAAGGGCACAAATTGCCAAGATAATATTTCTACCATTTTCACGTGATTTAAAACTCAGGTCGGTTTGTAAAGAAATCGCTCTCTCTCTAGTCATTCATCAATGAGAATATTGACAAAATGGGGAAATCGAGACTGGTTTCTACTTTATCATGCGAAGAGAAAGAAATGTGAATGTACCAAGTGAGACTGGGTTTAGAGAGCATAGCATACGACGTCGTCTCATGATCCCTGGCCGGCGGGAAACCGACTTGCAACATCAGTCGAGTGCAATCAGTCAACTTGTTGATTTTTGATTGCGTGATCATTTTTGTACATCTGTGCCTGAAGAGGATATCCAACTAAATTGTAAATTGATACCCACTTATCGAGGAGTTGCTGAAACTAAGCACAATTAATTGATATCTCACCACTCTGAGATAAGTCTGATTATCAGTGTAGTGTTGTTGTTAACTCGGCTTCAAAATCACTCCAAAAATTTTTACCCGTTGTCTTAGACATTTCTCTACCATCTCTCTAGCGAAAATGAGTGCTCCAAAAAGATTGAGTCCAAACGACCCAAATTCATTTTCTAATCCAGGTATGTTATGTCTTAAGTGTTTAATAGATTACAGTTTGTAAGTATTTTCACAGTAAGAATATTTTGTCGTTTCCCAGAAAATGTACGGGTTGACCATATGCATATGAAATGGAATGTTGACTTTGCAAAGAAAATAATCGGTGGGCAGGTACATTGTACATATGTAGTATATTGGTAATTGAGTTTTGGAGGTCTTCCTGGTTTTCAGTCATTTTTGCAATTTTTTAATACTCGTTCGTATTGTAGGTTACTTATCGTCTATTGCCTGTTACTCAGCCGGTGCAACAAATTGTAAGTTGATGGACGATTTGATAGACTTGCATGCATACTCTATCATCTTTTAATTCATTGTTTTCTTAGGTTTTCGACACTCGGCAACTAACGGTCAACAGTGTGAAAAGCAGTGATGGCAAAGCCTTGCTATTCAAATTGGGTGACCCAGTTTTGAATTTTGGCCAACCTTTGTCCATTGATGTTGGATCCTTGTTCAACTCGGGGTAGGTGGCTGATATTAATTTTTGATAATGAATGATATGCAACAAATTGTGGGAACATTACAAAAGTTATCAGTTGTTTAAAATTAATTGGTTACATATGTTATGCCAGATCGAGTTCGGTTGAAATCCAAGTGGACTATGAGACGAGTCCAGAGTGCAGTGCTTTGCAATGGCTGGACGCAGAACAAACTGCAGGGAAAGCGCACCCTTATGTTTTCAGCCAGTGCGAGGTGAGCAGACTTTCACTTTATTTGATTTCTCCATGCTTTTAAGTATGCCTCGTATTGTCAGTAGAGGATCAAAAGTATTTGGTACTATTTCAAATTGCAATCCTATCAAATGACAGCGTGGACATTGCATAATAAATAATAGTTACATCAGTGACTATATGATCTATATCATTTATGATGAGTGTAGTGTAATCTCATATCCCACATTCATGTATCATAACCTCTATCACCAGTAACGTTCAGAAATACTTTTTCGCGTAGATGATCCATGCCCGGTCCTTGTTGCCTTGTGTCGATACTCCATTTTCGAAATGCACGTATACGGCAGAGGTGAGACATAAGCAATTATAAAAATAGCCTATTCATCATTTATTATTGTGCCACGTTAGAACTTCTATGCTCACTGCGTTCGTATTGTCTAAAACTAAGGTGACAGTGCCAAAAGCGCTGCAAGCACTGATGAGTGCTGAGGTTTCAAAAGACATTGTCGAAGTTTCTGACAAGAAAACCAACAAGTTTGAACAGAAAGTCCCAATTCCAGCTTACCTTATTGCGATTGCTGTGGGACACATCAAAAGCAAGAAGATTGGCCCTCGTACTACGGTCTGGTCTGAACCAGAATTTGTTGATGCCTCAGCTTACGAGTTTGCTGAAACGGAGGAAATGCTCAATGCTGCAGAGCAACTCATGGGAAAGTTAGTACAAAAAATAGTTACATACGATAAAATGTATAATTATACCAAATCCATACTTATATCGGCTAAATTGAACTAAAAAGGTACGTTTGGGGAGTTTACGATATCTTGGGTAACGTTTTAATAATATTTTTCCTGCAAAGATTTATTTTTAAATAATAATTTCCAATATTGTCCAACAATATCCTCACTTTGAACAGTTCTCCCACCGTCATTTCCAATGGGAGGTATGTTTGTTTCCATATCTTTGTAACTAGTTACGTTACAAATCTATTGATAACTTGCTCTCTTTTATTCATCCTGAAGGCATGGAGAATCCCAATGTTACTTTTGCGACACCAACACTTGTGAGTATTTCATATCATTTAATTTGTAAGTACGTGATCTTGTCATTTATAATGTTGGTTGCTGTAGCTCGCTGGAGATCGAAGTTTAGCCAATGTCAGTAAGTTCATATGAAGTTTCATTCTCTATATAACACCCGTTGACGATTGATTAATATCTCAAAATTGTTTTTCATATTAAAATGCATTTAAATATTTTGTAGTTGCACATGAGATTAGTCATTCATGGACTGGGAATCTTGTAACAAACATAAATTTTGAACATTTTTGGTATTAATATTAACATTTACAATTAACGATGGCATTACTTATCACAAATATATTAAACAGGTTAAATGAGGGCTTTACTGTGTATGCCGAAAGGAAAATCATGAGCATATTGAAAGGGGAGAAATTCAGGTCGGTTTTTCTGAACTTACATACTTCTCTACATTCGATATAAAGCGTAGTATAAATGACCGTGTTGTTGAAAATTTATTATTGGTCAATTATTAGGCAATTCGAGTGCATCGGAGGATGGAAAAGTTTGACGGATTGTATCAACACAATGAAATCCGACAACCCGATGACAAAACTTGTGACGGATTTAACTGGTTTAGATCCTGATGAATTTTTCTCTGTTGTGCCCTATGAGAAAGGATCAGTGTTTCTCTACTATCTGGAGGAAAAAGTCGGAGGACCAGGTAAGAAATATTTAGAAGGAATTTCAATATGTATAATGGCTTGTTCCAGCCTGCAGTACAAACAAGAATGTGCATAAATTATGTATAATATTTCCCATCAAGCTGTCTTTGAGCCATTCTTCAAGCATTACATTCAGGAGAATCAGTTCAAATCCATCGACACTGATGTATTCAAAAAAATGTTTATTGACTATTTCACTAACAACCTCCGAATATCTGAGTTGATCAAGGATATTGACTGGGATACGTGGCTTTACACTACAGGCATGCCACCTGTAAAACCAAGGTATGTACGTGGTATATTATTAAGTTACCTAAAGTTTAGTAACGCCATTCGTAAATTTACATCATCATCATCATTGGTTTTTCTGTTTATTATAAAGTTTTGACACGAGCCTAGCGGATGTGTGTATTGAGCTAAAAAATCGATGGATGGAGTGGGACGCCGTAGAACCGTGTCCTTTCTCAAAGGGGGACTTGAGAAAATTCTTTTCTCAACAAATCACTGAATTCCTGGCCGAACTCTTGGAGGAAGAGGTCAGCCTTTCAAAGGTCCAGGCCATGCAAACCGTGTATGATTTCAATAGCTACAAGAACTGCGAAATACGATTCAGGTATTAATATTAGATCGAGGAGTTTTTTTAAGATGAGGTGTGTTAGAGGGGCAATGTGACACGTATTGAAAATATCCAGTTCTTTGCTGTCTATTTCTGTATTTATGTTTCTGTCTGTTGCGTCTCAGGTGGCTGCGACTGTGTTTGAAAGCCAAGTGGGAGGCTCAAGTGCCTCTGGTCCTCCAGTTCGTGACAGAACAAGGACGAATGAAGTGAGTCTCAACTTATGTATATCGTTTATTGCATTAATATCAAGTTGGTGGGCCATTGTCACTGTAGTTATTTTTTGTGTGTTTAACATTGTGTATTAATCTCGTATTCAGATACGTTCGACCGTTGTACAGGGAAATGTACAATTGGGAGGAGATTCGACCACGAGCGATTGATCATTTCAAGAAAACCAGGTCAAGCATGATGAGCATGTCCGCCACCATTATTGCCAAAGATTTACATTTGTAACTTGTGCGAATCAACGACAACTCATGCAACTTGTGAACAACCATTAATATTGCTTACCTACGATCCAACTTTATTCCAACTTATGTTTTAGATTTATTTACTGTAAAGTCAAAGTCTTTGGGAAACAATAAACACTGGGTCAAAAGGAAATAATGAGGAAATAATGGTTTGTGATGTGGTGACAGCATGCTCAATTTCTAATTTCTAGTTGTATGACTCACTCACTCAGAGGCAGAGCGAAAACAGCTTGAATTTTGATCATTTGATAATAATTAAATGAAACCCTTCATTAATCAACTCGGTCTGCTACGTTGTTCTTTTTGATAAATATTGTTCCGCTCTCTCAAGTTTGCGAGAACACTCGATCGATCGCATCACTTTAGTCTCACTTGACACTTCTGGGAAACATTCTGCAAAACAGCCTTTGCCATCTCAAGGGATAAATTTTTGGCTTTTTTGCAGTACCCCAAGAATCTCACATTCCCATCCTCATTTGTAAGCATCAACCTTTTTGCTGTTAGCATACTCTTCCACCAAACAACTCACCAATAAATCAAAATGGCAAATTAATTGGTGGTTTGAAATGGCAAAGTATTTACAATTCGAGTACTTAATTACAACTTGTATACACGACCACATAACCGTAGATGAAACCGACATTTGATTAATCTCACTTTTCCCCTTCTAAAGAATGAGCTACTTTTGTGTTATTTATTGTTGGTCTTAAATTTCTCGTTGATATTTGTTTGAATGTGGAATTATATTCTAACAGATTCGTCAAATGAGGATTGAATAACGTTACTTAAAAACTGAACGATTCCCAAATCTCTAGAAGTTTGGCAATTTTAATTTACAAGTGGATACAATTGTTTAATCTCAGACTTTCCCCTATTTCGACTGCATACATAATTGCATTATCAACCTTTTGTATTTACAAATATTTCTTCCTATGTTAGTTTTATCAATATGAAGAGGTTAACGGGTAAGTACGATCTTAATGCATTCATAGCAAGCAAATATGCACATACATATTTGTGAAGGTGTTGCCCTTTATTCTGATCAGATATAAAATAACACACACACATTGTTATTGGATAGAGGTGATCCTTAAATAAAATCCTATCCGTATATATGACAATGGAGCGTAATGAATGAGATACTTAGTACTTTAGCCCATGGAATTGGATGTACCATGCTACACGGCTTTAACCTTCGCATAGCATGATTCTTTAGTTATTTAATTTATTCATGAAGATACAAGTATTCAAATATTTGGTGTATTTGACAATCATTGAATGCATTGTTGAATAGTCGTCGCTGTTCTCTTGTCATCTGATAAGTCTGGCTATGGCATTAGCAAACTAAATACATGTGAATTTATGGTGTCGTATCTTTCTCTTGGTGTGGACTTGAGATTTGAATGGAATGTGATTACTGTGCATGTATCCGGTATTTATACCGTCGTCAAGTTGTGATTTGTGATGTTAGCAAGCAATGAACATGACGATACAATGACGACAAATATCGATGAATTTTGCTTGAATGTGAATTCCATTATTATTATTGTGATGTTGAAAACAGTGATGTAAAATCAGAATGTCTTGCAAAAATTGTCACTGATATATATACGGAACGGGCACACAAATACGTATACATATACGTTCATACATACGTATACGCATACATTATTATACAAATCTACGCCTACAAATGAGACTTTCCCAACGAGGTGAATGGTTAAATTATTCTAGAAACCAGAAAGTAGTGATTTTAATAAGTTTGGTTCATCAAACGACGTTGAATTGGAGTTATTTTTCTTCTATGCAGAATTTCTTTAATACAAAAACAACTCTATCCGTCTACTTTTTTAAAGTAAAGTGTATAATCAAATTTCCTGTTAATGAGGGATCACCATTTGGCGTCAGGAGGGATTCTTCTGGTAATTGAAATGTTGTTCAATCAACGCCATCACTTGACACAATGACGGAGAAGTGATTCGAAAAAGACGGCTGCAAAAAAATCTTAAATCAACAATCATTGTTTTCTTGCAACACCATGAAACTCTGTACATTTCACATGTGCAAAGTTTCTCCCCCACCAAATTTAATAACTATAAATAACGAACTAAATTACAGAAACATGCGGCGTCTATTTTTTGTCGCCCACATTTTCGGTTATTATTAAAATGCTCCGGTACATAACATATGATGATGATCATGATGATGCAAAGTTGTTCATTGAACCGAGCCACTCTTCAATATAGTGAGTTAGGCAGTCGCATGTGTGTAGTTTCGGCTCAGTAGTGGTATTGTTGCATTATGTAAAAATTCTTTTGTTATGAATGGCTGTTGATTTCCAAAAATGGAAGCATTGTTTTTTCACCTCTCATCTCTCTCTCCTTTGAACAGAATTCTCTCTCTCTCTCTACGTGCACGAGTAATTTATATTTTCAGCTCTCCCCGAAAAGGAGATATGAAGCTCTAAAGGTGTGCGGATGATGCCACCCGATCAATCGCACCCCACCAATCGCACCCCGTCTAACGCACCCCACCATTGCCACCCCAGAGCAATCGCACCCAATCATTCGCACCCCTGTAGATGCCACCCTTTATCAATCACACCCCTAGGATTATCCCACCCCCGATTTTGTGAAATTTTGACAAATTCTTAGGTACAAATAAATAAATGAGTGTAAATATGCGATATGTTGCTGAATGTGTTAGGGTTCTAAAACAATGTATGTATTATATATTACATTATTATATATTACATTTCTACCTTTCCTCGGCCTTCGAGTGAGATTTTGACAAATGCTCGGGCACAAAAAAATAGTTGCTGGAGTTTTTTTTAAAACAATGCTTGTAATAATTACAAGCATTATTGAATAAATTACAATGTAATTTATTCAAATATCGTCAGGCTTCATAAATTAAACTCATATTTCGACAAAAAATCTAAAAATAAAATCTCCGTAAAAATTGAAACATATAAATCATTCGTATCAAAAATAAAAACTTAGCACAAAAAATTGGCCAGGTTGTTTCTTGTATAATGCGTGGTTAAGTTAAGTAAAGGTTAAGTATGTACATACATATGTACATACACGCTTGATATATTTTTACAAGTAACAGGATTCATGTGTAAATCTTTCATGAATTCTTTACACGCATTGATTTATTTGTACCTAAGAATTTGTCAAAATCTCACAAAATCGGGGGTGGGATAATCCTAGGGGTGTGATTGATAAAGGGTGGCATCTGCAGGGGTGCGAATGATTGGGTGCGATTGCTCTGGGGTGGCAATGGTGGGGTGCGTTAGACGGGGTGCGATTGGTGGGGTGCGATTGATCGGGTGGCATCATCCGCAAATCAGCTCTAAACGGTAATATCTTCTCAGTCTCAGAGTCTCATCTCTTGGGATTTTCCAACGTTTTTCGAGCGAGTGCAAACTCTTGCCAAATCATCCAAACAATGTTGCATGTGGTGGAGCACCGACTAGTTTTATAACATTTTATTACACACAGACCAAACAATTTTAATCAAGACATTATAATTCCTGAAATGGTAGAAATTATTATGTGGCACTACAATACGTTTAAAAATGTAACTGAGGCTGCAAAACAATGCGGTGGTAGTGGTGGTCGAATTTTAATGGGTACACATGTATTGTTTCATGATAGACTTGTTAACATTTGTAACTTTGCTCAGAGAGACAGCAAATATTAATTTGGCAGCCTTTTAGAGTTTTAAACTCACTCACCCAATTTATCAAATGAAGCATGAAATCAATCATACATAAATTTCAACGGTTGTACCGTTGTACGTAGTAAACACACCAATCCTGTCGGATATCATTTCAACGTTTGACCAAGGGTTTGAGCCATTCAACATCCATGGCTTGTCGTCAAGATGTCTTTAATCTTTCCTTCTCCTCGAAATAACCCAACTTGATAAGAAACTAAATCAACAAAAAAGCGAGTGATATGTGCTCTATAGCGCCCTTCTTATCTGCAGCAGCAAAAGTAAATGGAGTGGACATGCTGTATACGCCCAAGAGATAAAAAAGTATTATTTTATAACATTTCCTAGTGCCCACCCAGCATTGGAATTCCTTCGTTCTGAAATCTAAGAAAAGCTGTAAAGCAGACCAAATAAGTTAGGAGTCGACTCGAGATGAGACTTTATCACCATTAAAGAAAAGCTGCCCTAGATATGAGCACAAAATCTGCTCTTTCGCCGGAATATTTACTACTCGTAATGTTGTAATATAGACGAGCAAAAGGAAAGCAACTTGTTTCCTGTGAGTATTGTTGTAAATATGTACGCACTACTACTACTGCTACTACCACAACCACATATATCGTCAATTTTTTCCATCTTTTGCTCCCTTCGAGTGAAATTCTTGTGGTTCATAAAACAAATAGAATAATACAAAACTGGCATCTTACTTGAATTTAAATCTCAAGTTTTTCGACTTTATTATTGCTTGACGAAAAGAGAATGGTCTGTTTTTATACTTTTTATATACATATGTGCATGCACTCTGTCTCTTGCTGTTGATGTTTGTATGGAACCTTAACTGGATTTGTAGTTTGATGCAAGATCTTCATCTCCCAAAAACCCTCATCTAGAATTAAATCTTAAGCATTTTACAGATTTGGGCAAGAGTAGTACAAGCTCAAGTACTTGTCTCGTTGAGCGTTTCCAGTTTCAGAATCAGAAGCGATTGATCTGCCTGATTCGATAACAATCTTTCCGATCCCAGCATGCAGCCTATCCGGTTAAGGAGCATTACTCTACTTTTCTCCTGTTTTGATGTCTATACGCATCATTTTAGCCAAGGAAAAATCGTAAAAGAAACTTGAGAAATGTGCACGTTGGTACTTTTTGTGTCTAAGTGGCTGCGTTTATTCGAGAGCTTTGGCGTGGCCTGTTGACTCGAGGGTTTATATGGATATCTTGGAATCGGGAATCCGGACTTGTTGAACAAACTAAATTAAAATCCACATTCATTTGAATATCAAAACACTGCTTAGTTCCTGTGTTCCACTTATGAATTTTCCAGTTGTGTTTTTAAGTAAACTGAATAGATTGTTGATGGCTGATGGCACTGGTCGATAGTGAAAGTGGGATTAAACGTGGAGGCAGTAAATTCTGTAGGA